CAGCACATGCGGGTTCTATGGACGGACCAAGCACATGCAAGCTTCCAATTTCTAAGGCCAGGCGCGAGTATCTCGACAGGATAGCTCGCGGCCTGTTTCCGAAGTGCTGAGCATCTTAGCCTGGTTATCACTACGTGATGGCGGAAATCCTGGAAATCCTCCTCCTCCTCCTGCTCCTCCTCCTCCTCATCCTGGTCCTCCTCCTCATCCTCCATCTCCGCCTCCTCCTCATCTCTCCGCTCCTCCTCTCTTCGCTCCTCCTCCTCTCTTCGTTCCTCCTCCTCCTCCTCCTCCTCCTTTTCCCCCTCCTCCTTCTCCACCTCCTCGTCATCATCATCATCATCATCATCATCATCATCATCATCATCATCATCACCATCATCATCGTCATCGTCATCCTGCTCCTCCTCTTTCTCCTCCTCCTCCTTTTCCGTAGCCATTTTGGCTCAAGATGGTTTGTTCCACAGGGGTACACGTGGATACCGCTAGTCCGCGGCCAGTGCCAGGTCGCCTCTGCCCGACAGTTTTGTTCCAGCCGACGGGTCCGCCCTGGCTGCTGCCTGTCGCCGCCCCGCGACTGAGCAGTCTCGGGCGCCCTCGAGTTCCCGATGGCGCCGAAGAAGGCACTTCCTGGCTTTGTCATCTGCACGGCGTGCCGATACAGGTGGAACTTCCGCAGGAACCCGACCTGTTGGCTCTGTGGCCAATGCCTTGAGCTCCCGCCTGCCAAGCCGTCGCCTCGCCATGGCGTCTGGGCAGAGGGCGGCGAGCCGAAAGGGAGCGGCGCAGGCAAGGCCAAGCCGAAGGGTGGCAAGAAGGGCGGCAAGGTCGGCATCGCGGCCTTGGGACCTGGTGGCCGAACCGGCTTCCCTGATGCGCCATGGTCGGCCTCGTCGCGGTCAGAGCTCGACTTGCTGCTGGCCATCCCTGATCCCGACATCTCCGCGCGTCTTCGTGAGGCGGTGGATGCTGCGAGGGGATACAGGCCGCCATCACCAGCGGCTACGGAGAAGACGTTGGAGCAGCAGCTGCAGTCAGCTACGGACCGCCGAGTCCATTTCCAGCGCCAGCTCGACGACGCTGCAGACGCCATGGCAGCGGCGGAGGCGCAGTTGGCTGACTGTCGCAGCTGGCGCGACACCTGTGCGCTCCACCTCGCCGAGGCGCAGGCCGAGGAGGCCCAGCTCCTCCGCCGTCGAGTTCAGGCGTCGGGAGTGGGAGCGCCCTTTCTGGAGGTGGACAAGCAGCTCACCTTCAACTTTGACGCCGGGTCCCTCGAGAATTTCGGTGAGCTTGAGGAGGAGGCTCAGGCGAACCTCAAGCGCCTCTGTGCAGAGGGCCACAACATCATGCGGGTGGCCCAGCAGCACTTTGAGCAGCAGTGCCAGGAGCAGCTGCGTCGCATCAAGCAAGAAGCTGAGGAGGCGATCAAGAAGAAGCGGAAGATCGGTGACGACACCGCGGATGGCCAGGCCACCCCTGCGGCAGCGGCTGAGTCGCCGACGGCCACCGCAACCCCGCCTGCTAGCGAGGAGCCCGCTGGTGAACAGCGGGAGCCTGCGGTGGCAGCGACAGCAGCAGCACCTGCAGCAGGCGATGCCATGGCGGAGCAGATTCGCCGCAATGCGGCGAAGCTCGGAGCCTCAGCCTCGGAGAATGCCCGCCTGCGCGCCGAGCCCAAGGTGGGTGGCCAGGCTGCTCCAGGCCCTGCTGGTGCTGCAGGTGATGCTAAGCTCCGCGGGTGGCCACGTGGGCGTGGATACACATTGGGGCGCGGGGGAAGGGGATTCAGCCCCCTGTCGTCACACCCCCGCGCCCTCACGCTCTACCAGTTCGGTCACGCCTTCTCGGTGGGCGACATCGAGTAAAGCGAGTTCGGCCATCGGCACGGCCTCTCCATGCAACGGTCGGCCTGGGCCTCTTCAAACTGGAGTGACGGAGCCGCGGACGCGCGGATGGCAGCCTCCTCCTCCAGGTGCCCCGCTGCCACGGCCCCCAGCGGGGGCGCGGTCGATGCCCGCGGCAGCGGGAGGAAGAGTTGCCCACTGCACCGTCCAGACGGGAGAGGCCCCGCCACATGAGCGACACAGAGGTACCTGGAGCTCGTGGAATGCGACGCCAGGATTCCTCTGCGACGACAGGCTTGTCGGGCACGCCGTCAGCGGAGACGACGAGGTCTGGGATTGGCATTGCTTCTCCCAGCAACGACTGGCCTGGCACGCTTCAAGTTGGACTGGGGGAGCCGCGGACGCGCGGATGGCAGCCCCCTCCTCCAGGTGCCCCACTGTCACGGCCCCCAACGGGGGGGGGGGGTCGTTTCCGGCGGCAGTGGGAGGAAGCGCGGCCCACGGCCCTGACCAGCAGGGAGAGGCCCAGCCACGTGAGCGACATGGAGGCACATGGAGTCCAAGGCAGGCGACTTCAGGACGGGCTTCCGCGACTACATCCATGATGGCGTCGTCGGGCTCGGCCACTGCGCCTACAAGCCTGGGAACCGCAGACCCCGCCTGCCATCCCGGCGCCCAAGGGCCTAATAGGAGGGAGCGTCTCGGGGCCCAGGCTGGAACACTGCAGCTGGATCGCCTGCTTCCCGACCAGGGTGCTCTGGCACCTGCGCCTGGGCAGCTGGAAGGTAAGCTCATTGTGTGCACCTACAACGGCAACACGTGGAACACTGCCTCCAGTGTCCACGAGTGGATGTGCAAGAAGGAGATGGCACCGCACGCGACGTCTGTCCAGGAGACGCGGTTCACATCCAACACGGCGGTCGAGCAGGCCCATGGTTGGGCCGGCCGAGGAGGCCACATTCTTGCAGCCTCAGGAATCCTTAGGACTGGAGATGCCGCCACGGCAGTTTCGTCGGGAGTGGCCATTGTATCCTCGACGCCGCTTGGCACCGCCAGATTCCCCCAACCTTGGGATGGAGCCCAGCATCGCTTCAGGCGAGGGCACTACGATTGCCATGATCTCAGTGTACCTCGAAGATTCGATAGGGCTCCAAGGGCCCAACAGGCAGCTACTGGAAGACGTTCACTCGCGGTGCGCGCATCTGGACGTGCTCTTCATCATTGGTGGTGACTGGAACATTGAGGCCAGCGAGCTGTCAACCCCAGGCTGGCCTGAGCTCATGGGAGGAGTTGGCATGGCCCCAGGGCTGGCCACATGCAATGATAATGACTACGACTACTTCGTGATCTCGCGCGCGCTGGAGGACCTTGTGGACTCCATCAAGTGCCACGTGGACACCCCCAGCGGCCCGCACCAGGCCGCGACGCTGGTGTTGCGTGGCTGCTGGAAGCGGCCCATGATCCAGACGCAGCGCGCGCCGAAGGGCTTTGCGCTGGAGTTTGAGGCCGACGAGGAGGCCAGGACCAGGCGCGACCTGCTGGTGGCCACCCTCCCATGGCCCCCGCCCTGCCCAGGCCCAGAAGGAATAGTCAAGGGCTGGTTCGATCAAGCTGAGGAGGCAATGCAGGCGCTGCATGGCATGCCCAGTAGTGAAGCCAAGTACTACAAGGGCAGGTCCAAGGGCCCCAGGACAGTCGCAGTTCCCTTGGAGGCCAGGGTCCAGGAGAACCGCTTCGAAAGAGCGTCAGAGGTCACCCAACTCTGGCTTTCGCTGCGCCACTTGTCCAAGAGAAGGTGGGACTTGGGCCCCATCGGGCCGAACGACCTGCCCAACGGCTACAGGGCCAGACGAGCGCAGCAGCTCCTCGAGTCAGCCAGCCGCCTGAAGGTCAAGTTCCAGGAGCAGTCCATCACGATGTTCGATGGCACGGTGTTCCTGAGTTTCTGAAACGAGATGGGCCTCCAGACGGAGTTGGGCTATAAAATCCTACTCGTGATGGAACAGGTTGTGGCCAAGCACACCAAGGAGGATGCAAAGGCCAGCAAACTCAAATGGGACGACTTCTCGGAGCAGGCTTTCGAACGCCAAGGTTCGTTGGCCCACAAGGTTATCAAGAAGACCCACGGAGAGCCCAGCCCCGTCCTTGAGGCAGGTTCGGTCGACCATGCACTGGTGGGCCAGCCTGCGCTTGAGCGGGTGCTAGCTGACTGGCCCCCCCTCTGGTCTTACCCCAGCCGGAGCGGCAAGGAACACCCAGGCCTGTGGGACGTCGGCGAGTGGGCTCTGCCGCCGATCACGGTGGACGACATCAAGTTCGCGGCGCGCAAGTTCTCCAGGCACACGGGCCTTGGCTGGGACAACTTCCACCCGCGGCTGCTGCTGGAGGTGGGAGAGGACATCCTTGCCAGGCTCGCCAGCTTGCTCAACGCTTGGGAGCGCGCCCCCTACTGCGGCGAGCTGTGGACCGTGATCATTGCATTCCTGCCGAAGCCCGATGGAGGGCAGCGGCCCATCGGGCCCATGCCGCTGATGGCCAGGATCTGGTCAAGGGTGCGCCAGGGCTACGCGGCCAAATGGGAGAGGTCGCTGGAGCAAACCCCTTTTCTGGGGTACCTCAGCTTCGCGAGGATGTGACAAAGCGGCGTGGCCCCACAATGTTTTCGCAGCCCACGCCAAGCACGCGCGAGCGGAGGCCGCGTCCATCTACATGGATTTGCAGAAGTACTACGAGCACATTGGCCACGCCGAGCTCAAGGTGGCGGCGCGGGCCTGGGGCTTCGACCTTGGGCTACTCAGAGCCCTCTGCGTCACCTACCTGGCGCCGCGGCGGGCGCGCATCAGCTCCTGCCTCAGCGAGGCGGTGGCGCCCAACGGCACGGTCGTGGCTGGCTGCTCCTGCGCCACGGCGCTGGCGAAGCTGCTTTTGCTCTCGGCCCTGCGGGCCGCGGCGGCGGCGGCACCCATGGCCAGGCTGCTCAACGTGGTGGGTGACGTCTCGGCCCACGTCACAGGGCCCCGCTCCATGGTGGCCCAGCAGCTGGGAGCCACCTACAGGGCCTTCTGCGAGAAGGTGCGCGAGGCCAACCTGCCACTGAGCAGGCACAAGACCAAGGGGCTGGCCACGAGCAAGGAGCTGCGCCAGGCGCTGATGCAGCAACCTGGCTGGGACCTCGGGCCAGACGACTTTGTGGACATGCACAGGGACCTTGGAGGGGACGCGGTCTCAGGGTCGCACCGCCGCGTCACGACGGCGGCCACACGAGAACTACAGGCGCGAGCTCAGGGCAGGAAGCTCACCAGCCTGTTCCGCCCTGGGCTGGACCGTGCGAGGGTCTACCGTGCTGGCCCCACGGCCAAGGCCACCTGGGGCTCGGCCATCATGGGCGCCCCGAATGGCAGGCTGCGCCAGCTGCGTGTCGGGGCGATCAAGGCGAGGGGACGCTTGCCCCGTGGAGCAGCCTTGGGGATTGCCAGCCTAGCCCAGGCCAGTGGCTGGAAGAGGGACCCGCTGACCATTGTCACCAGGACCGCGCTCATGGCCTACGTCGAGGTGATCTGGGCCTCGCTGCTGCCTGAGGCAGCAGCCCGCTCCTGCCTGGCCAGGGGCATGGAGCTCGCCCAGCAACGGCATCCTTGGCGGCAGGTCAAGGACCCCATCAGCGCCCTGGTCCTCACATTGGATCGCGTCGGCTGGGGCTTCTTGCAGGGCGACCCTTACCTGGTTCACGACAGCACAGGAGCAGCCTACGACGTCAGGGGGCACTCTCCCGCCTTCTTTGGCAGCCTGGTCGCGCAGCAGTGCCGTGTCGCAATTGGGCTGAAGGAGGTGGCCATGCAGGGTCCCAGCATGTGGGGCTGGAGCCTTCCGCCCTTCTGGCAACCGATCCTTGATCTGGCCAGTCATCGGTCGCAGGTCTGGGACCAGCACCACCAGCGGGTGCTGCGCAGCCTCATCCAGAACACCCACTGGTGCCAGGCTAGGGTGGCAGCGGCGGACAGCTCGCGGGCGGCGCCGTCCAATTGCCAGCTCTGCGGTTTCAAGGACGGCTCGCTTTTCCACAGGCGGTTTCGTTGCGAGGCGCACGAGTTTTGGAGGAGTGACTACTTGGAGGAGCCGCTGCGCGGAGCCGCTGATCGAGTGGAAGGCCTAGGCTTCCCGTTCACCGACCTGTTCGCCAGAGGCCTCTTCCTTGACATTTCGAAGTTGATGAATAGGCCTGTTCGGCCAGAGGCGGACTACTTCGAGAGTTCTACGAGCTGGTACACCTTGGGACCGCACCTCAATGGGCACCACGTCTTTGTGGATGGCTCGGGCCTCGACCAGGCCTACCCGCGCCTGCGCACCGCTGGTTGGTCCGTGGTTATCTACGACGAGACCTACAAGCTTGTGGCGGAGGCGTGGGGAGCGGTTCCGATTGCTGTGGCCCCCGAGCAGTTGGCCAGAGATGGCGAGGACTACGCGGTGAAGGTCCTCACGTCGCAGGTGGCAGGGGGCAGCTACAGGCTCTACATTGACTGCATGGCCACAGTGCGTTGCGCGGCCAACCCGTCGGCAGCGGCCGCAGCCAGCGCCCAGCGCGCGCACCTTTGGGCTGGCCAAGCAGAGCAGCTGCAGGACGTAACGGTCGTCAAGATCAAGGCCCACCAGGGCCCCAGGGCTGCCGCGGACGGCCTAGTCTCGCAGTTCGAGCTGGATGGCAACGCTCGGGCCGACAGGCGCGCCAAGCAGGGCGCGACGGCGGCCAGGGCGAACCTCGGCGACATCCTCGTGGTCGAGGGCTGCCTGTCGCTGGCCCGCCTGGCGGCGCGGCTCGCTGCCGCGCACGAGGTGCAGCTGTCGCGCACGAGCATGCTCGACTCCATGGGAGTGGTGGCGCTGGAGCTCATCGACCTCGGCGAGTGGCCGCAGTGGCCAGCGGAGTTCGAGGATGAGGGCGAGGACGTGGAAGGTGAGGCCGCGGCCAGCTCCCAGGCGCCAGGTGGCAGCGCCCCGTTGGAGCCTGACGCCGCGCCTGCTGGCCTGCAACCTTGGCGCGTCGCTGGGCACGCGCTGCTCGCCGCGCCCATTTTTGTGGATGAAAAGGCGCGTGAGGCCCAGCAGTCTTGCGGCACCCTCCTCTTTTGCAATACGTGCCGCGGGTACGTATCTGATAAGCGGGGTCGAGGCCTTCAGGATAAGTGTCCAGGAGGCCCGATCCCAAGTGCCAAGAACAACAATTCCGCTCTGAAGCACGTGAAGCACCCCAAAGGGAACAGGCTTCTGGGGAGCTTGCGGTCGCCTGAGGAGTCCGAGATCAATTTTTGGTCTGGGCATTTTCCCCCCGAGCCTCCTGTGGTTGCCCAAACGGGTACCCTGACGGCTGGCCCTAAGAGGCCCAGCGTCCAGGAGGTCTTGTCTTCGTTTGGGCTTCAGCTGGCAGAGGCCCAGCTGTTGGGGTCCAGAGCCCTGGAGACCAGGGCAGAGGCCCAAGCCCGCAGGGCCCGTGGTGTTTCGGGCCCCGAGGATCCCCTTGACCTCTCTAGCGTGGTCCCTGGCGCGGCAATGCCTGGCTGGGGCTGAGTCTTGAAGGCTTGCGGGGTCCCAGGGTCGAATTCGTGTGCAGGACCCTTTTTGGGTCGAGTCTAGCCTCCTCCTCCTCTTATTCCTGGTCTCTCCTGTCTCCTGCTCCTCCTCCTCCTCCGCCTCCTCGGCACTTTTGCTCCGTCGCCCCTCCCTCCGCTTTCAGCGGGCGCCGGAGCGCACAGCATGGGCCATGCCGCCATCGGTGGCGCTTCTTCCAGGGCGGCCAAGGTATGAACCTCCATGATGGCGCGCCGGGGCGTGCGTAAGTTTGCTGGGGCCTTGCCGAGCGGGGTCGAATGCACGCGTTGTGGCGTGCGCTCGTGTGGCGATTTTCATGCACATCCTGTTTCGAGGCTTTCCTTCACGTTACCGTTGAACTTTCTCGCACTATGGTGGCAGCCGCGTTGTGTGAAGTTCGTGTGGCCGCGCTCTTTTCCTCTTCCTTTCTTTTTGATTTTTTTAATTTTTTACCAAAAAAATTGCCGCCAGCCGCCCTGGAAGGAGCGTCCCCGACAGCGGGACGGTTTTTTTCTTCGGCCAGACGCAGAAGGGGAAGTCCACCTCCGCCTCCACCTCCGGACGGAGGGCCTCTGGTATCGACGGTAACGCCGTCGGTCCAGAAGTCCTTGGGCGCCTCTGGAGATTCCCGTCGCCACGGTTGGATGCGGCTGGCCAGATTGGCCCTGATGAGCATTGAGAGGGATTTGGGGGCAGGTTTTGAGCGGAGTCTTTGTTGGGGACGGCGGGGTCCTTGAGAAGGCGTTTTCTGCAGCGGTTCTTCGCTGTTTCTGGCCTCCCTCGGGTCTTCCCTTGGGTTTGCCCCAGGACTGTCAACAAGAACAGTTCAAGATGAGTTTCCCCCCATCCACCTCCGCCTCCTCTCCCCCCTCTGGACCTGCTCGGCGGGCAGTCGTTGTTTCCTTCTCGACGCCGCTTCGGGCGGGGCGCGTCACCTCCGTCTCCCACTGCTGCTGTGAGGCCGACGCTGCCGAGACGGCAGAACTCCACCTCTTGAGATTTGAGCCGGGCGAGACCGAGGCTCGACCTGAGCGGCGTTCGGGCGAGTTTTCCTGGACCGTTTTCGCTATCATTCCGCGTCGCAGCAGAGGAGGAGCGAAGGCAGACCGAGGGGGAGCACGGAAACAAAACGAGAACGACGACAAACGCCGTTTGGGTCGAGCCCTGGGCGAGACGACGGCGCGTGCGGGCACGAGCCTACATGGGCTTCGAGGGAGGAGCCCACGGCGCGCGCCAGCGTGCCTTGCGCGGGGCAGGCCGCGCGGGCGGGAGCAGGGCGAAGACTCGCGTGCGTGCCTGGGCGCGCGCGTCCCTCTTCGCGGCCCCTGGACAGGGCTCATGTCGGCTCCTCCGAGTCGATTCGATGCCGATGCCGACGGATTCTGATCCGGGCGAAGGCCTCACCAGCCCGCCGACGTTTTTTCCGATGCGGCTTCTCCCGACTCGGCCGCCGACTTCCGCCGTTCCGGTTCATTCCGATCGCCGACCCGAGTTAGTGATTCGGCTGTGGGTTTTTCTGATGAAGAGTTGCGTGTCGTCACATGTTCCCTCACCCAGGGCGGGAGGAAGCTTCCGCCTCATTACTTCCAGAGCGTAGTTTTCTTCTTCTTGTTCTTATTGTTAATATTATTGAGTTTCTTATTATCTGTAGAATTCTTCTTATGATTACGAGCCCACGAGCGAAACCGAGGACTCGACCACCAGCGGGATTCGCTTCGTCGGCGTAGAGACAATGCGGTTCGGGCCTCCTCTCGTCTGACACCCTTCTGCTCAGCTTTCGGCACGGCGAGGCGAGGGAGGCGGAGGAAGGACTGGTCGATGCTGAGGCTGACCGACATGACCATTAGAGATTCTCGAAGAAGAAGAAACCACATAAACACAAACTTTTGGCGCTCCGCGCGGAGCGCCAAAAGTTTATGTTGATGTGTTTGTTTCTCCTTCTAGATTCTCAAATCCGCTGGTCAGCGCCATATCGTCATGGGTTCGAGTTTGCACTGGATTGCCCGTCTAAGCAGGATTGCATGGAACGTATCCCCAGATTGCGTGCTGCTTGACTACGGTTTAGTCTTACCGCATGCGACCGCGAACACGTTGGACGCGAGCTTCAATCAAGCCATGTCCCCACAAGCAGCCCACGAGTGGTGAATGTGTATCGATTCGTATGCGGAAAGTTTGTTAAGTGGAGCCCAAGTCAAAATGCGTTCGGCTTCCCATGACCTCGGTGGAAACATCCTCGGGCGCCTCTTGAAGGATTGTGTGTAACAGACTGTTGCATGTTCGAGGCATCTTGAACAGCCGTTGGGGGGTCGCTTGGGTTTTGCACTCAAGGGCAACGTTAGGTGGGGACAGGCTCAGGGGGGATACATCGACCCCCAATCGCCCATTCATCGCCGATAGTCAGACGATCGCAAACATGGAGTAAGGGGGCGTGGATTAGTGACGGGTCCCGTTTCCATGGGAAATCGCGGATTTCCGCCGCCGAACGAGGCGGCACGGGCCGCATTTTGGGGAGGGCACCTCCCCCGATCCATGGATTTGGCGACCGCGCGCCAAATCCATAAATCCCGCTAATCCATGTTTGCGCGCCCCCAAAAGTAGGGTGAGATTGGGGTCGTGTGATCGGTCCTCGAGGCAATCTCTGAGGTTGCTTGGGCGGGTGTTGGCCCGTCTTGATAAGGGGGCGATATCTGATGCAACGCCGCTATTCAGGGTGGACGCGATGGCGGATTAACACCTCATCGGTCGTTGAAAGTATTTATTTCTGGATTCCCAGATTCCGATCTACTTTAGGCCCCTTCCTATTGTGAAGGCCTTACGGCTGGTGCCGCCGACCCTGTATAGGAAGACAGGGAGATGGAACACGTGGATGAGGAGGGGGGGGGCCTCCTGGGTATTCCGGAGCCTCTTGGAGGTCTTTTGGAAGCTTCTTGAGGGCCTTTTGGGTCTTCTTGGGGCCCCTTGGGGGCATCTGGGGGCCTCTTGGAGGGTCTTTTGGGGGTCTCTTGGGGTCTCCTGGGAGGCACTGGAGCCGAAAGTCCCCTGTCTGGACACGCTCTGGAAGCCGTCTTGGGGGCCTCTTAAGCCGTCTTGGAGGCCCCTTGGGCTGTCTGGGGGCCCTCTTGGGTCGTTTCGGGCCTCTTGAAGACTTCTTGGGCTATTTTGGGGCGATCTTGGAGGCCTCATGAGCAGTGTTGGGGCGTCGAGAAGCCGAGAAGGCGAGAACACCAAAATCTGTAACACCAAAATCTGTCAAAAACCTAAGGATGATCTCTGACTTTCACCTCCTGGGCCCTCTTCGGAGTGCCCTTGGAGGCCTCTTGGAGCGTCTTGGAGGTGTCTTGGACCGTCTGGAGGTCATCTCTGGCGTCTGGGACGCATAATTCGGCGATTCGGGGCCATCCTCGACCGTCTTGAAGGCTTCTAGGGGCACTCTTGGCCCGTCTTGGTGTTTTTGCTTGGCCGCAGGACCCCCTGGGGGGGAAGGCATTCTGACCCAGGAGCCCCCCTGGACCCCCCTCGACCACTCCCCCCCCACCTCCCGCGGCGATCAAAAGGAAGGGGCTTCCCTTCGAGTTAACTACGACGTTGCTCAATTTTGCTTTGGCTGGCACGTGTGAGAAGGAGGGCCCAGGGAAAGGGGCGCGAGCGTTGAATCGTCGGTGCCGACGACTTGTGCTCGGATGGTACGGATACCGAGTCTTGCCCAAGGTCCCACTTATCAGGCATGCCTGCCCCTGCCCCCGGGGAAGTCTCTGGGCCCTTGGTGCTCCCGCCGCCTTCTTTCATCTCTCGATTTAAGTCTCCTGGCTACAAAAAGAGCAGCAAACCGATCCCAGCTTCTCGCGCTGAGTTGGCTTGCGGCGCAGCTACATCGAAGCATTCGATGGGCTTCTCGGTGAGAGGAAGCACCGCCTCGACCGAGGACGCCGAGAAGGCGGGCGCTCTTTCTTCTCTTTGGCATGTCAATGCGCCGCCAGTCCGCATGGCGTCGCGTCTCGTGAGATCCGCCAATGCATTCGTTCAGCAGTTCACCGAAGGACGCTCAAGAGAACCTCGAGAGGGAGGCGAGGACCCAAGAAAGGTCGACGGCGTTCTCAGCACGGAGACCTGAGACGGCCAGAGCTGTTGGTTCGGACATGTGTGATTCTGCCCAGTTGAGGGTACCAGTCGTGGTGCCGAATTGAGGAACACGTGTGGTGCAGATTGAGCCCGACATCCCGTGGATGTTTCAATCGTTTGTCTTAAGTGCCACAGCAGGGAAGGTCGACCCATCTTGGGGCAAGATGGGACTTCGTTGGCATGGCTCCTGGCTACACACGGGCAGGCCCCCAGAGATATAGTCCAGGCTGGCCTAGATGGGCCCCTGGGGTACTCAAGCCTCCCAGGTGTCTGCCCGGCTGCCACCCTGAGGCCGCCCTCTCATCATCCTCCCTTTTCCGCACTTCCTTGGCCCCATTTGTCTACCTCGGTTGCGGGCATTGCGCCGATGCTACAGTCAACGCGCATAGTAAGGACGCGCGCCTTACCTAGGGTACCATCGTGTCCTTGCCTCTTCGGCCCGTCCTTTGCCGTCTCCACCGGCCAGATCGCCCGCCGCCCAAAAAGTCCCAACTTCGGCCCCCAGGGGTCTCGCATCCATACCACCGGTCCTGATTACTCCAGATCTCAAAATGGCGGGGGGCGGGTCCAAAAAGTGTTTGACAGCGCGTCTGGGACCCCCCCCCAAAAAAAGCGGTGCAACAGCGGGTCCAGCATCGAGACCCCCAGGCAATCTTCTTCGACGAGGCCCGTTTTACCCCCCACGAAGTAGATATCCCCCCGGCCTCATAAGATCCAGAGTGCACGCTTTCACTGCACTTGTTCAGCATTGGCGTCCAGGAGTCGTCGCATCCTCGCCCCGCATCCTCGTTGCGCGTGCTCGCTGCAGGGCAGCCGGGGCGCGGCGGGGCGGAGGCGTCTGTGGGAGGCGCCAGGCAGAGGGACGGAGGGGGGAGGGAGCAAAAAAGCAAAACAGGGAGAGGATCGCCCAGATCTCCACACACACACACACATACTTTCTCCTCCTCCTCCTCCTCCTCCTCCTCCTCCTCCTCCTCCTCCTCCTCCTCCTCCTCGTCATCCCCCTCCTGCTCCTCCTCATCCCCCTCCTGCTCCTCCTCCCCCTCCTCCTGATCCTCCTCCCCCTCTGTTTCCTCCTTTTTTCCGGTAGCCCAACTCGAGGATGTAGTCTGTAGCGTGCTTGAGCGACTGTGAAGGATGAAAAAAGACGACTCAGGGCACAGGTACCAGGCGGGCGCCGCAGAAACGGTTGTAAAGAGAGAAAGGCGGCAAAGCGTAGAACAGTTAGTAGGCGCACGCCAGGTAGAGGAAGCATAATGTGTTTTAGCAGGTCACAGGCAAACCTAACATAGAAACGACCCATCAACAATAATAATCGGTACCAACTGCCTCCGAATAAAAGGATCAGGTACATGGGAACTGCTGATGCTAAGAGCATACTGTAGGCTGGCCAGAGGTGTTGGCTGGCCTGTTGAAATGGCAGGAAGGGAATGCTGTGTCTACTTATGTCACTCGTTATTTTCCTCTGGGTCAGAAGCACAGTGACTGGACAGGAGCACATGTAAGCTGGCCATGCGTGTTTGCTGGCCGTGGTGCCAAAAAAGTGCGCCCACAAGTTAGCAATTGAACAGGTGCCTGCCTATTATGTGCAATTCTTGAGCTGCTACCCTTAATAATGTGCTGCCTGTGCTGGAGCAGTCAATGATAGAGGGCGACCGAGGCTAGTCGGTAAAACCTCCTCCTCCTCCTCCTTCTCTTCCTCCTCCTCTTTCAATCGCCCCCACCACAGTACTACCCCCACGCTAGAGTCAGGCGCCCAAAAGTTAGCAAGGGAACAGGTGCCTGCCTAGTATGCACGCAATTCTTGGGCTGCTACCCTGGAAAGTCCAAAAATGTGCTGGAAGGTGCCGAAGCTGGTCGGTGCTGCAGCGCCTGATGAATCATGAGTCCCAGCCCCAGTACCACCTCCACGTTAGATTCAAGCGTACAATGTTAAGCAAGTGAGCAGGTGCTCGCTTAGTATGTATGCAATTATTGGGCTGCTATTTCAAGGGCAAACAATGTGTTGCTTGTGCTGGAGCAGACAAAGAAGGAAGGTGATCGACGCTGGTCGGTGCTGCATCGCTTGGTGAATCATGGTCTCCTCCACCTCCCCTGCAACTCAAACACCTCCCAGCCCCTCCCTGGTGTATAGTACGGCTGGCAGCAGACAAGATATAATGGTGCCGTCACGCTACGTATAGCAGGTCTAGGGGTGTTCCCAGGGTTTTGTTGTGTACCTCCTCCTCCTTCTTCTCCTTCTCCCCCTCCCCCTCCCGCTCCTCCCCTCGCTCTCCTCCTCCAAATCTTCCTCCTCCTCCTCCTCCTCCTCCTCCTCCTCCTCCTCCTCCTCCCTCCTCCCTCCTCCCTCCCCTCCTCTCCTCTCCCTCCTCCCTCCTCCCTCCTCCCTCCTCCTCCTCCCTCCTCCCCTCCCCTCCTCCCTCCTCCCCCTCCCTCCCTCCCGCCCTCCCCCATCCCTCCCTCCCTCCCTCCCTCCCTCCCTCCTCCCTCCCTCCTCCTCCTCCCTCCTCCCTCCTCCCTCCTCCCTCCATCCTCCTTCGCCCTCCACACACACACACACACACACACACACTTGTTTCTCCAACAGCGAGGTGACTACACCGTCGCGATGCTCCAGGATGGGTGGGCTGGATAGGGACTGTCGCTCGCAAAACCTCCCATGCACACAGGGAGAAGCGCCTAGACGGTGTATCGACAAACCACATGTGAGCATGAAGCGAAGGCCATCAACAAGCACGTTGGCGATTGCAAGCGCGCTGGTGCACGGAAACTGGACGTAGACCAGGGCTCCACCGGATGCATACAAACAAGAATTTGTCATCGTTCGGATCTGTGCGTTTTGTTCTCGGCGAGGACCATCGAGGATCACCCTGGACCATCGAGCAAAAAAAACACGCACGATACCGCAAAAAAAAACAGGAAATGGACGTCCGAGCGACGGCAGGAGACAGACCAGGCCAACGGATCGAACAAACATCGAGAACAAATAATAATAAAAAAGAGGGTCTTCCGCAGTGTCTTGCGGCTTTCGAGGGGGGGCCTCGCAGGGGGCCCAGGGGACGTCGGAGATAGCGACTCGGGACGAGAAGCGCCAGCCATGGGGAGAGGGGTCCGGACGTCTAGTGGGTGCCCCGTACAGTCGGGCCGAAGTAAAAGATCGAAGTCGGTTCGGGGAGGGGACCCTGATGTTCTTCGTGTTTGTTGGATGTTCTCGTGCATCTTGGGGGAGGGCGCCCTCGAATGTTCTTCAGTTTGGGCCAGCGGAGGGTCTCATGCCCGGAGGGTCCTGACTTCTGTGGGTGTCCCACATGGAAAAGTCGGAGGACGCGCAATGGGGGACGATACATGAGGTGGGACAGCGAGGGTTGCAGAAAAAGGTGTTCTTCAGGGCCCCATCAAGTGGCCCGTTGGGGCCCCAAAGGGGGCCTTGAGGGCCCGAAAACGGTACCTTTCTTCCCCCCTCCCCATTTGTCGCCCCCCAACAGTTCGCGCCCAGAAAAGACCAAGGCGTCGGATCCCTCCTGGGGCGAGCAGGGGATCGTGGCAGTCGGCGGCCACATGCGAACCCGAGCCCCCCACCCCCCCACACGATTTTCTAAGAGGGAGAGAGGGTGGGGTTCACTTCGCTCGGGGGCTCCCGAGCGAAGTGAACCCCACCTCCCCCCTTGGAATCCGGGGGGGGGGGTAGGGTTAAGTCGGGCCTGTCCCTCTCTCGACAGAAGGAATATTCAAAAATAGTCCCCCCCCTCAAAGAAAAGTATGGGGGCGATGTTTTCCTAGTTCTGAGCATGTCGCAGTGTTTCGGGACCCTTTTTTTATTTCTCGCCCAAGATCCGCCGGCAGGGGGACGTGCCCGACCTGAGGGCAGGGTTCGCCCGTGGCCGCCCGGGCAGGGATCAGCGAGCGAAGAACGGTGTAAAATAGACTTTTTCGCCGTCGGGGACACCTGCCCCTGGGCGGCTGGAAAGTTTATATCCCCTACGGTGCCACCGTAAGGGTATAAAAATTTTCCAGCCGCCCAGGGGCAGGCGCCCCCGACGGCGGAAACGTTTATTTTACACCGTTCCTCGCCCGTTAAAGGGGGCAGGGCGGGAGTGGGGCGAGGGGCCGCGGCGGCGTGGGGGGCGAGGACCGGCGCCGGCCGAGGGCCGGCCCCTCGCGCCACGGCCCGGGCACGGCCCCGGAGGGGCACCTCTCCAGGCCTCGCGACGGGGCTCCAGAGGCGGGGCTCCCTCCTCCTCCTCCTCCTCCTCCTCCTCCTCCTCCTCCTCCTCCTCCTCCTCCTCCTCCTCCTCCTCCTCCTCCCCTGCTCCTCCTCCCCCTCCTCCTCCTCTCCTCCTCCTCCTCCTCCTCCTCCTCCTCCTCCTCCTCCTCCCCCTCCTCCTCCTCCTCCTCCTCCTCCTCCTCCTCCTCCTCCTCCTCCTCCTCCTCCTCCTCCGCCGCCGCCTCGTGGTTCAAGACACAGGGGTCAATGCAAGCGGGGGCCCGCCAGAGCGCCGGGTCTTGCAGGACTCTGCGGGGCCAGGGGTGGCACTGACCCGACGCCTGGGCGCAGGGCCCTGCAGGATCTTGCAGGATTCTTCGCATCGACCCTGGGCTTGGGTGCAGGGTCTTGCAGGATTCTGCAAGGCCCGACGGGCCTGGGTCTGGATTGACCCGGGTCAGGTGATGCCCGATCCCAGATGGGGTCCGAGCAGATGTCACCGAGCGCGCTCCACTCTACGTAAGTCGGGCCTGTCCCTCTACAGGAGGAATTGTTCAAAAATACTATAAAAAAATAGTTTGGGGACGATTTGTTGACCGTTTTGGTGTATGTTTTGAGTATTTTTGATTTTTCCTCCCAAATCCGCCTGTAGGGGGACATGCCCGACCTAACACTACTCGCAAAGTGCCTACTGACAAACGTCAGAAAAAACGTGTCTTACTCGATGTAATGGATCGTGGAACCCCCGCGGTGGGTGTTTGCCATTTGCGAGCAGCTACTCTGCGAGTAGTGGGACGCGCTTGTCGAAGATGGGGTCGGAGGATCGCGCCGCATCGCCGATGCATCGCCGGTGCATCGGCGACGCATCGGCGATGCGGCTCCATGTGGAGGCCAATATTCTCCATGCCGACGTCGCCGATGCATCGCCGACGACGCCCGTGCTTTGCCGATGCATCGGCGATGCATCGTCGATGTATCGGCAATGCGGCGAGATCCTCCGACCCCATCTAGGAGGCCTCTAACAGTGCAGGCGCGCATCAAGACACCATTTGCGTTCCGCCAGCGTACAGGCCTCGGAAAAAATAGCGAGCACGCATGCCACACTCATCGGTCAACGATTCCCCCCCCCCGAAATGTTCGCGAAGTTGGCGGTGGGTCTGATGGGTTGTACTTCGACCGCAGTCTCCCCCGCGCGTGCCAACTTTTTGAGTTTGTGGGAGCGGGGGAGTGTCCACTAATTGTTTCCCCCTACCGTATCCTGGGTTTCTTCGCTCCGCGCTGCGCGGTGACTTCCCGCAGCCATCGAAGAAATTGCTGCATTAAGGGTGCTCTACGGGTTTCCCTTCAGGTGCACCTCGCGCGCGGTTGTTCAGGGTCGGGTTTCTTGCGAGGGTTTCTTGCGGCCGCGCCCGCACTGTACGGGAATCGTGGCCAAGACTGGCAGATGTTTTTGCTCAGTTCGAACCGGACTCGCTGTCGGTATCGCCACGGACGGTGTCCGCTCGAGACGGAGAAAGGTCGTTCGCACAAGCGATCTTTGTCGGTGTTGTCAGATTTGTTGTTGGGCATCGCACACATGTCTTCCGTACCCATGTCGGGCATGCCAAATGGCGCCCATGGGCGTTTGCCAGCACCCCTTTCAAAATATGCATTGAAAACATTGTCGTGTTGTGAAGAACCCAACGGTACAGCGTCGGTCAAGGTCTGTCAAGCTCCTCCGCTGCGACCACTTGAGAGCCCTAACCCCTACTGGTCCAATCGACGCTCGGTCATGTGGCACCCCCGATGGGATTCACTTCAATGCAGGTACCTGCATGGGATTCAGAAATCTGACCTGCAGGGGTAGGAGTCCACGTGTGGTTGCCCATCTCTTCCACGGCGCCGTCACGGTTTTTGGTCTTCGGTATCTCCCAATTCCATCGCCCGCAGGCGTCATTCCAGCAGTGCGCCGTGACGAACTGCGCGAAACTCGCGGAGAAGTACGTGGGCCTCAGGTTTGACCCTTAGCCCCGTGGGAGTTGAGAGGTCTGGGGGGCCAGGAGGAGGGAGAAGGGCATACCTGAAACACAAAGCAAGAATAGATGTGTATATATATATATATATGGTATGAGCGCTGCGAGGGGTCCGCGACATCAACTCGGTGTCCGTCCCACAGCCGACGTCTCTGCGAGGCCCCACGAGGGCTGGCCCGGCGGCAGGGGGAGGGAAGTATAGGGGTCCCGGCCCGAGACCTCTCGGAGCCGATCCCCGGACCCCCTCCCCCGGGCCCCACCCCGTTTCCGAAGGGGGGGCCGAGGCCTCCGACGACGCGGTCCTGCTCGAGCCTCGGGGCCCTGGACCTCTCGGTCCGCTCCCCCCCTCCACTTATAATAATGATAACTTGTTTCGCTGTCGGGGGGCGCCTACCCCTGGGCGGCTGGAAAGTTTAATACCCCTACGGTGGCACCGTAGGGGCATAAACTTTCCAGCCGCCCAGGGGCAGGCGCCCCCGACGGCGGAAAGTTTATTTTCCACCGCTCTTCGCTCGCTGCTCCACGGGGGGAAGCCCCATGGGGCTCGCCGCCGACCAGGGGGCCCTCCGAGCTCGTCCTGGAGGGCAGCTCGGCGGGGAGGGCCTGCGCGAGCGGTCCTGGCCAGCTTCCCCGCGCCGGGCCTCCGCTGCCCCACAGTCGGCTCGTCGGCTGTCCCCGGGGGGTGGACATTGGGCCCCGGAGGCCGCAGATGCAGAAGAGCCTCGGGCTCCATACTAGGGAGCGGAAAAGAGGGGGGTGATGACTAGGGGGGGGTGGATATCATGGCGGGGGCCATGATATTTCCCCAGGTTTCATGGCGCCTCTTCTTATTTCATTACGTCCCTGGCCCCCCCGCTGGGCCGCGCACATGCCGCCGGTCATGATTTGCACCCCCCCCTCTTGGACACCCCCCTTTTTGCCGCTCCCGACATACAGTCGGGGCCCTGAAGAAGGAACCCTTTTCGTCGGGGAGGGGCTGGGTGTTCATTGAGTGTTTCACAGCCTGCCCAAGGTTTTCCTTCGGCTCTCGGTCGGAAGTCGGAGTTTCACTTATGGAAAAGAAGGGGCCTCGTTCCTCATTTGGGGTTCCTTAGGTCACCGCCCTGACTGTAGTTACCCAGATCTCCGACGATGTGACCTCTTCAGTGCGGGCGTGTTTTTCCCGGACTTCGGCCTCCAGGGCCCGTGTTCGGGCCTTGGGGCCAGCAGGAACGGATCCGGGACGCAGAACCCCAACCACCCCCAGGGGAGGGCCGCGGGTTGAGAGAGCCACGCCGCATGTCGACAAAATGTTGCACCAGCTTTGCTGCGCAGCGGCACCTATGCTGCATTGCTCTTCCCCCCCTTCCCCCCGATCTTGATATTGGGCGCATGGCGAAGAGCCCTTGGGCCGCCCAGGGGCTCCTGACAATGTTGCACCACCGAGCTGTTTAGACCAGCCCAGACTGAACCCAATGTTAAGATTCGGGGGGGACAGGGGGGGAAACAAACGCTTATAGAACAGCGGTACGGTCGACGCACATCAACGGCGAACGACATTCCAAGGTTGCCCTTGCATTGCATCATTCCCCTTCGGCCCATCCTTGGCCTCGGCCACGTCCGTTGGCCGCGCCCCGCTCGAGTGGGGTCGGCATGGCCTTCCGAGAGGCCCTTGCATCCTCACCCCTTCTGGCGGTCATTCCTCTAACTGTGCGTTGTGCATCCCTGCATTCTTATCCTCACCCCTCTGCGCAGTCATCCTCACCCATTTGGCCCTTGCATCCTCATCGTTCGGATGCGATTTGACAGGATGAGGAGGAAGAGGAGGAGGAAGAGGAGGAGGAGGAGCAGGAGCAGGAGCAGGAGCAGGAGCAGGAGCAGGAGCAGGAGCAGGAGCAGGAGCAGGAGCAGGAGCAGCAGGAGGAGGAGGAGGAGGAGGAGGAGGAGGAGGAGGAGGAGGAGGAGGAGGAGGAGGGAGGAGGAGAGGAGGAGGAGGAGGGAGGAGAGGAGGCAGGAGCAGGAGGGAGCAGGAGCAGGAGCAGGAGCAGGAGCAGGAGGAGGAGGAAGAGGGGAGGGAGGAGGAGGAAGAGGAGGAGGAGGAGGGGAGGAGGAGGAGGAGGAGGAGGAGGAGGAGGAGAAGGAGGAGGGAGGAGGAGGAGGAGGAGGAGGGAGGAGGAGGAGGAGGAGGAGGAGGAGAAAGGGAGGAGGAGGAGGAGGAGGAGGAGCGGCGGTCCTCTCTCTTACCCCTTCTAGCCTTCTTGTGCGTTCTGCCTGTGGCGGTCCTTCGTCTTGCCCCCCTGGCCTTCGGCGGCCCTCTGGAGGCCTCCGGTTGCTTCTTCTGGAGGGCTCCACAGGAGGCCACCACCCACCAAACCACCCCAACCCAACCCGAAGGCCCCAATGTGCCCTCCGTTCCCAGTGAGAGGGGGTGCCCGGGAGCATTGGAGAAGCACATGGGGACCCGCCCTCCCCCCAGCCCGAAATTTAGGTCTTCGGGTCAGGTTGGGGCTGCCCTGTAGGGGGTCGGGAGGGCCTCCGCGGGAGGGCCTCCGCGGGAGCCTCGGGCACACGAGGGGTCCCTGCGAGCCTCCAGGGGGGCCTCCACACGAGGGCCTCCGCGGGGGCCATCGGGGGTACCTCGGGCTCGCGAGGGGCCCCTGCGAGCCTCCAGGGGTGACTCCACACGAGGGGCCGCCGCGGGGACCGTCGGTGGCACCTCGGGCACACAGTGGGGCCCCTGCGAGCCTCTGGGAGGGGCTCCCGCCGAGGGCGGGCATGTCCCCCTACAGGCGGATTATGGACGAAAATTGAAAAACACTAGAAAAGTATTTGAAAATGCTTTAAACAAAAAAACAAAACAAACAAAAAAACTTGTTTCAAAAACTATGTTTGAACATGCCTCCTGTAGAGGGACACGCCCGACTTAAGGCTAGGGTTCGGATGTCGCCACCCAGTTGTGCCAGGTCCCCGTCAAGGACGGCAGCGCAGGCCAGTGGGCACCGGAAGAGAGAGAGAGAGAGAGAGCGGAGCGGAGCGGAGCGGAGCGGAGCGGCGGGCGCGGCAGGCAGGACAGGAGACGGGCACGCAGGGAACGGCGCCAGAAGGCGAGGAGGTCCAAGGAAGGCGTGGCAGCCACAGCAGGTGACGAGGCAGCCCCAGGCGAGGGAGGTCGTCGCAGTCGGCAGCTCCGCGAGGGCGCGAGGGCCAGCGCAGGACAGGTGCAGGCCAGCGAGGTTCCACTGGGAGGCCGTCGCAGTCGGCAACTCCACGAGGGCACGGCAAAGCAGGCGAGAGGACCAGATTTGACGAACGAGACGCCGAGATGATCCTGGCACTCCCACCAGCGGCACAAGGCTGGGCAAGGCGCGCGCCGCACCGTGGCGGGGGCGTCCTGGCGGCCCAAAGGGAAGGGGGCAGGTTGGGGGGCGGCCCTCAAGATGCAGGGCCACCCAGGACCGGGCCAGGCGTTCGAACGCCGCCGGCAGAAAGACGCCAGGACCAGCCGGCGCGCCACGAGCAGAGGAGAACGAGCTTTGGGCGCGGACCAGCGCCGGCCCTGGCGCCGCCGACGCGCGGACGGGGCGGAGGCGCGTGCCGCACCCAGCACTTTACAGCGCGCGACATATCGCACGCTGCGCTTTCGACGATGCTCGATCGCAATTAGCATTTCCGTCTGCTGCCCGCGCTTGAGGACCCTCTGCGCCGCCGACTTAAAAGTGCCGCACCCAGAGGTGGGGCCCTGGCCCCCCTGAGGTGCGGCTGGGCGCCCGAGCCCTTCGAATGAGCAAGGGCAGCCAGCCCCCAAGCCGGGACAGGCGTTCGAGCGCCACGGGGACGAGCGAGCCGCGCCACGAACGACGCGCGCGAGAGAGAGAGAGAGAGCAGCGACAGCGAGGAGCCAGTTGCGGGGACAGGGCGCAACGAGGGTTGTGCCCTCTGGCGGCTGGCCACTGCCCCAGCGGCCGCCCAACGCGCCAGAGCGTGAGAGCGCAGAGCAGCCACGCGTGCGGCCGAGGCCGCGGCCGCATTGGGTGCGCTCGGCGCCCGCCAGAGCGGGCGCGGCGGTGGCACGCGGGGCAGCGCGGGCGGGCGGGCAGCCCCCCATGGACAGAGCAGCCCACGCAGGAGGGGCGAATTGACGAAGCTGGAACTTAGCAACAGGTACGGGGCTTGCGGCCTGGACACACACACACACAAAAACACACGCACACACACACACACACACACACACACACACACACACACACACACAAACACACGCACACACACACACACACACACACTACCGATGGGGAAGGCATACAAAGAAGAGGCTTCGAGTTGTCCGAGATGAGCTGACGGTGTGCGGAAGTGGCCAGAACATTTCTAGGGTTTCGCTCGACAAGCCCCGTCTGGTCTATCACGCACGCCGACACGGGCAGCGAAGTCCGGTTCTGTCGGGCCCTACTGAGGTTGCCTGGTCGCCTTCTTGGGCAGTCTTGGGGACCTCTTTGGCCGCATTGAGGATAGATTGGGCCGTCTTGGGGCCACGTTGTACCGTCTTGGAGGGACTTGGCAGCTGTGGTGGCCTGCTTCAGCTCGGGAGATCGTGGCCTCGGGAGCGCGGGCCCATATTCATCGTACGGGGGGGGATCGTGGTTGCGGGAACGGGGACCCAGTGTTCAGGAGGAGGAAAAACACACAGACACAATGAATCGTCGACCCCCAGTAAAATATAGGAAAATATAAAAATTGGGGGGGAAGACGAAAACCCAGAAAATGTTGGAAACATATGGGGAATCCTGTTACGTGTGTCTATTTATTTGTACGTCCCAGGGCCCCTTCAAGGGTTTTTGAGGGAGCGTGACTTCGGAAGCGCGGACCCATAGTTTTCCCCCGAGGAACAGGGGGGTGCACGCAGCCATACGTGGCGGGGGTGGGCCCTAAGAAGGTGCTAGAACCCAACCGGACAGCCCGTGGCGTTCAGAGCTTGTCAGGCACGGCGGCGGCCACGCCACCGCCGTGCCTCGCCTCGGTCATCGCGAGCCCCAGGAGCGCGGATGGACGTCCTGGCTTCGGCCATGTGAAGATGTGCGTACTCTGGGTTGCTTAATACAGTGTCGTTTTTCTATACATGCTCCGCGTGCGGAGCATGTATTAAAAATGCAGGGATTTAGTAGTAAAAACAACGATGAGTTGATGCATAAATTTATTCATAAATTGATCATGGATTAAAAATCCGACATTTTAAAACATCCTATGTATTAAAAACTGCCCTGTAAGCGGGGGGGTACCCCCCGACGGGGGAATCAGCCTCGCCGCGTCGTCGCGCCGCGACGGGGGTCGGAGCGCCTTCGGCGCGCGGTGGCTGCCCGCGACGGGGGTCGATGTGGGGTTGTCGGCGGGGGTGGCGCCCCCCCCGACGCTTATTAAGAAACTCGGAGTGTGCGGTTTGCACACGACGAGGGCCATACCACCACGCACGTAAGGATTCAAGTCGGGAATCGACCACCGAAGTGACTTGCCACGGAATGAAGTGTTCGTCGAATCCACGAAAAGCACGTGGCAATTTCGGGAGTTCGACAACCAGTCTACGCATTTTTCTCAGATTCGGCAAAAAAACATTTGGGGTACATCAATGTTGCAGTCGATCCCCAACTCGAAGGAGAAGTGGCTGGACGGCCGCGGGCGGCTTCTCCGCCTGGTAAGAATCCGGACTGCTTCAGAACCTCGGTTGAGACCTGAGTTTTGGACACGTCGCGTACAGTCGGGGCCCTGAAGAAGGAACCCTTTTCGTGGGGGAGGGGCTCCGCGTTCCTAAGTGTTTCACAGCTTGCCTCAGGTTTCCCTTATGTTTTCGATCGGAAATCGAAGTTTAACTTATGGAAAACAGGGAACTCGTTCCTTATTTAGGGTTCCTTAGGTCAACGCCCCGACTGTAGCCCAACAAGGCCCATCCAGGAGCGATGCCCAGGCGAGTTGCCCTGATCGGGTGTGTGGAGTAGGAGCACGCGCTGGAACACAGGGATGGGGAAGCTGTCGTACCCCAAAAGGAGGGGGGTCGGGGGTGGACAGACCTCCTACCCTGACACGTCGATTAGTGAATTGTCCGTTTTCGGTTCTCGAGAGGGCGCCGCGGCCGTCATTTTCCAGGCTTGCGCCCGCCAGGTTTGGGCCCGAGGCTGTTTTCACTAAACCACGTCTTACTAAAGGGAGGTCTGTCCATCCCCGAGGGGGGGATGGAAGAGGAATCGGAGGATGAGGCAAGGTCGGCGGAGATGATCGCGCGTCGCGCTCGCGCGCGGTGGCTCGCGCGCAGTGTTGGGGCCCGCGCTCGGAGATTTGGGTGCGACTGGGGATCGGAGACGTTCTAAGGTCGTGGACGTTTGGGGGAGTTTTTTCCGCCCTGGGGTGCCGAGACGCGTCCGGGATTGCCCGTACCTGATCGTCCCGAACGGCCGCGCGAAGCCCGAGGTCAGGGCCGAAGTCGGCCAGGAGGGGAAAAACACGCACGGACACAATTAATCGTCGATTCCCTCGAAAATATGGGAAAATATGGGAAGTGGGGGGGAAGACAAAAACCCAGAAAATATGGGAAAATATAGGGAATTCTTTTATTTGTGTGTATTTATTTGTGTGTCCTGGTGCCCCTTCAGTCGGCCCGGGGTCGGCGCGCGCACCCAGAGCAGCCGTCGGCAAGATCGAAAGGGGGACGGCAAGCATGGGCGCGAATCGGCCGCGAGCGGGGGGGGGAAGCGAGAAGGAGGAGGCCATCTCAGAAGGCGGCGGGACTGCTCTGAAGCCCTCGCGGGGAAGGCTCGGGAAGCTTCTCGGGAAGGCCGGAGGGGGCTTCCGAGCGTTCTGAGGAGGTCCGCCCCTTCGCGCTTCCCCCCCGGGCTCGCGGCCGAACGAAAGCCTCGGGAGCCTGGAAACGGGGGCCAGTGCAAACGGGGGTCAGTCAGAGCGCCGGATCTCGCAGGATCCTGCAGAGCGAGGGGCGCACCGACCCGGGCTTGGGTGCAGGATCCTGCAGGTCTTGCAGGATTCTGCAAAGCCTGATTGACCCGGGTCTGGATTGACCAGGGTCAGTATGTCTTTGAAGGCCAGCAGCAGGCCTTGCCCACTGGGCAGGCTTCGCCGTCGGCGTCGCCGCAGGACGTCCATATTCTTTGGGACGGCCGCCGCCTGCCCAGCCGCGCGGCCGCTGCCGGTTCTGGGCAGCGCTTGTTGTCGGGCATCGTCCCCACTGTCGCCGCCCTCGCTTCTCTAGCTTGGCATCGCTCGGACATGCGCATCTTTTCTCGTCGAGGACCACCGAGGAGCATGTTGGTTAAATCTTACGAAAAAATGAGCGCACGAAGCCGAAGAATGCACGGGGAATGGACGTCCGAGCGATGGCAAGCTAGATAGGGTCGAGTAGACGAGGTCGGAGGATCGCGCCGCATCGCCGATACGGCTCGACGTGCAGCTCAAGTTGCTGCACGTCGACGTCGCCGATGCATCGCGACGTCGACCATGTATCGCCGGTGCATCGCCGATGTATCGGCGATGCGGCGCGATACTCCGACCCCATCTAACTACTCCGACCCCATCTAGAAGGTCTCCTAGTTCTGGGTGCTCCACGATGCGTGGTGGCGCAAATCCACGAATTCTGGGAGCAGCCGTTTCCGAAGGGCAGAACAAGCGCATCGGCACAGACTTTCGGAGGCCCACGCGGGGTTTCCGTTCCAGCGCTGGACCCCACCTGTCGGCCCTTGGCCCGCAAAGCGCGCCAAGCGGTGGTTGTCCAGCGCCGACCCAAGAAGTCCGGGCGGGCCTCCGAAAGCTGATGTGTTCTGTTGTATTTTGTTCACCCGTGTAGCGGTTCGCCGAAACGTGCACAGGGCAAAGCGCAGTGTTGTTTTGCACATGCGAGCATGCAAAAGTCAGGTTATGCATGATTGTGGTGCTCGTTTGGGGCAGGCCTCGTGATCGCCATGATGCTGCGTTTGTCGACGTCATTGCTTCGTCTTCATGCTGCCCGCTCTGACGGCATACAATGTGCGTGCTGACTGCCCGCTGGTATGAATTGCGTGCTTAGGGGGTCTTGAACAGGGGGCGCGTGTGTCGTGTTGTCACGGTGCCAGCGTCACGGTGTAGCGAGGTTCGAATGCACGTTGGTTCGACGTTTGTACGATCATTTACCACCCTACATCACACAGTTTGATGTGCCGTTCGGATACGTCAGATTGCGGTCATGCTCTCGTGAAGGTGGTGACCTTACGCTTGGATTGGGGTGTGGCCCGTGCGCGCAAAGACAAGGTCAATGTTTGACGCATCTTTCTAGGGCGAGGACACCGTAGTCGATATCGAATTCTTTGTTCCGTTGCTTGGTATCGAACCGCGCGGAACACGAGCGCACACCTGCTTGGCAGTGTTTCCAAATTCGGAGCAGCTAATGAGGAAAGTGAAATCATGCTAAGGTCAGCGACTGATGTTGCCGCCAAGTTCGGCCAAGTTGTCGGACAGAGGCCGAACGACTCCGTAAGGTATGGGGCAATGACGTCAGGCCACGCTCCATGACGCCCTCTTCTGTGAGCTTCGTCCTACTGATCGGCACCCTCTCGTGTATACATTGTACAATGCATTGGGTTATGCTACTTCTTATGTTCGTGCTCCTCCCATCATGCCCCCCCTCCCACCGTATTATCTGCCGTCGCTTTCATCCGTCGAACCTCCCGTGGCCCCATGGAAGTCGGCTGTGCTCACGCACACATTGGAGATCGTCGACGTGCGATGCCAACTGCTACCGCCTTGCAGAAGCGGTCGGACTGTCTCCCATCGCCCCTGACCATCACCACTTTGCCACGCTCCTGGACCGGAGGCTAACAGTGCCGTCGCATTCCTCACAGCGTTGGGTCCATACAGTGGAGACTCATACCAAGAAACAGACTCATACCAAGAAACACCCTGCTTGCCTCCAGGGTGCCCTGGGTTTCTTGGGTTTCGATTGTCTTGCTATGGGGAGCGTGACGTTCCCACTCCAAAAGTCAATGGACGCCCTGGGGTCTGAGGGTTGGGTTTCTTGTGGAAGGTTTCTAGTGGACTGGCCTCTACTGTAACGCTTCTCATGCGGGCGGACGGGCTCGTGGTTTGGCCACGTGCCAGCAGAGGCGCTTCTGGAACCGTCGGGGATTTTCTGACCCGGGTCAGTACAGACCCGGGTCAGTCAGGCCTTGCAGAATCCTGCAAGATCCTGCACCCAAACCCGGGTCAATGCGAAGGATCTTGCAGGATCTTGCACCTAAACCCGAGTCAATGCGACCCTAGCCCTGCAGGATCTTGCAAGATCGGGCGATCTGGCTGACCTCCGTTTGCGTTGACCCCCGTCTCGTGAGCCCCAGTCCTCATCACGCTGGGATCATTACGCTTCTCATGCGTGTGTGTGTGTGTTGTGTGGTGTGTGTGTGTGTATGTGTGCGTGTGTGTGTGTGTGCGTTTGTGCGTGTGAGCGTGCGTGTGTGTGCGTGTGTGCGTGCGTGCGTGCGTGCGTGCGTGCGTGCGTGCGTGTGTGCGTGTGTGTGTGTGTGTGTGTGCGTGTGTGCGGGTGTGCGTGTGTGTGTGTGCGTGTGTGTGTGTGTGCCTGTGCGTGTGTGCGTGTGTGCAGGTATGCGTGTGTGTGTGTGTGTGCGTGCGTCTGTTCGTGTGTGCAGGTGTGCAGGTGTGCAGGTGTGCAGGTGTGCAGGTGTGCAGGTGTGCAGGTGTGCGTGCGTGCGTGCGTGTATGCGTGTGTGCGTGTGTGCGTGTGTGCGTGTGTGCGTGTGTGTGCGTGTGTGCGTGTGTGCGTGTGTGCGTGTGTGCGGGTGTGCGGGTGTGCGGGTGTGCGGGTGTGCGGGTGTGCGGGTGTGCGGGTGTGCGTTTGTGCGGGTGTGCGGTTGTGCGGGTGTGCGGGTGTGCGGGTGTGCGGGTGTGCGGGTGTGCGGGTGTGCGGGTGTGCGGGTGTGCGGGTGTGCGGGTGTGCGGGTGTGCGGGTGTGCGGGTGTGCGGGTGTGCGGGTGTGCGGGTGTGCGGGTGTGCGGGTGTGCGGGTGTGCGGGTGTGCGGGTGTGCGGGTGTGCGGGTGTGCGGGTGTGCGGGTGTGCGGGTGTGCGGGTGTGCGGGTGTGTGGTGTGGGTGTGTGGTGTGGGTGTGTGGTGTGGGTGTGTGGTGTGGGTGTGTGGTGAGGGTGTGAAGGTGTGTGTTTGTGTGCATTTGTGTCTGTGCGTGTGTGTGTGTGTGTGTTCGTTTGTGTGTGTTTGTGTGTGTTAGTGTGTGTGTGTGTGTTTGTGTGTGTTTGTGTGTGTGTGTTTGTGTGTGTTATTGTGTTTGTGTGTGTTTGTGTGTGGCTGTGTGTGTTTGTGTGTGCGCTTGTGTGTGTTTGTGTGTGTTCTTGTGTTTGTGTGTGTTTGTGTGTGGCTGTGTGTGTTTGTGTGTGTGTTTGTGTGTGTTTGTGTGTGTGTATGTGTGTGTGTTTGTGTGTGTGTTTGTGTGTGTGTTTGTGCGGGTGTGCGGGTGTGCGTGTGTTTGCGTGCGTTTGCGTGTGTTGGTTGTGTGCGTTGTGTTTTGGTTGTTGTGTTGTTTGTGTGTGGGTGTGTTTGTGTGGTTGTGTGTATGTGTGTGTGTTCGTGTGTGGTTGTGTGTGTGTTTGTGTGTATATGTGTCTGTGTTTGTCTGTGTTTGTGTGTGTTCGTGGGTTTGTGTGTTTTTGTGTTTGTGTGTTTGTGTGTGTGCGTGTGTGTGTGCGTGTGTGTGCGTGTGTGTGCGTGTGTTCATGTGCTTGTGTGTTTGCGTGTTTGTGTGCTTGTGTGTTTTGTGTGTGTGCGTGTGTGCGTGCGTGCGTCTGTGAGTGCGTGCGTGCGTGCGTGCGCGTGCGAGTGCGCGTGCGCGTGTGCGTGCGTGTGTGCGTGCGTCGCGTCGTGCGCCGGGTCGTGCGCGTGCGCGTGCGCGTGTTCTTGTGTGCTTGTGTGCTTTTGCGCTTGTGTGCGCGCGTGCTTGTGTGCTTGTGTGCTTGTATGTTTGTGTGCTTGTGTGCTTGTGTGCTTGTGTGCTTGTGTACTTGTGTGCTTGTCTGTTCGTGTGTTTGTGTGTTTGTGTGTTTGTGCGTTTGTGTGTTTGTTCATTTGTGTGGTCGTGCGCGTGCGCGTGTGCTTGTGTGCTTGTGTGCTTTTGCGCTTGTGTGCTTGTGTGCTTGTGTGCGTGTGCGCTTGTGTGTTTGTGTGTTTGTGTGTGTTGTGTGTCTGTGCGTTTGTGCGTTTGTGTGTTTGTTCATTTGTGTGGGCGTGCGTGTGCGTACGTGCGTGCGTGCGTGCGTGCGTGGGTGGGTGGGTGTGTGCGCGCATGCTTGCGTGCGTGCGTGCGTGCGTGTGTGTGTGTGTGTTTGTGTGTGTTGGTTGTGTGTGTTGTTTTTGTGAGTGTTGTGTTGATTGTGTGTGTGTGTTTGTGTGTGTTCGTGTGTATGTGTGTTAGTGTGTTTTCGTGTTTGTTTGTGTGTTTGTGTGCTTGTGTGCTTGTGTGCTTGTGTGCTTGGTTTGTTGTGTGTTTGTCTGTGTTTGTTTGTGTGTTTGTGTGTGTGTTTGTGCGTGTGCGTGTGTGCGTGTGTGCGTGTGTCCGTGTGTGCGTGTGTGCGTGTGTTTGTGTGCGTGTGTGTGCGTGCGTGTGTGCGTGTGTGTGTGTGTGTGTGTGTGTGCGTATGTGCGTGTGTGTAAGTGTGTGTAAGTGTGTGTAAGTGTGTGTAAATGTATGTAAGTGTGTGTGCGTAAGTGCGTGCGCCTGCGCCTGCGCCTGCGCCTGCGCCTGCGCCTGCGCCTGCGTGTGTGCGTGCGCGTGCGCGTGCGCGTGCGCGTGCGCGTGCGCGTGCGCGTCGTGCGTCGCGTCGTGCGCCGCGTCGTGCACGTGCGCGTGCACGCGCGCGTGCTTGTGCGCGTGTGTTTGTGTGCGTGCGTGCGTGTGTGCTTATGCGCGTGTGTGTTTGTGTGCTTGTGTGCGTGTGTGCTTGTCTGCTTGTGTGCTTGTGTGCTTGTGTGCGTGTGTGCTTGTGTGCTTGTGTGTTTGTGTGTTTGTGTGTGTGGTTGTGTGGTTGTGTGGTTGTTTGTGTGTGCGTGTGTCTGTGTGCGTGCATGCGTGCGTGCGTGCGTGCGCGTGCGTGCGTGCGTGCGTGCGTGGGTGGGTGGGTGTGTGTGTGCATGCGTGCGTGCGTGCGTGTGTGGTTGTGTGTTTGTGTGTATGTGTTGTTGCGTGTGTGTGTGTGTGTCGTGTTGTTTGTGTGTGAATGCTTGTGTGTGCTGGTGTGTGTTTGTGCGTTTGTGTTGAGGTGTTTGTGTGTATGTGCGCGTTTGTGTGTGGTTGTGTGGTTGTGTGGTTGGGTGTGTTTGTCTGTGTTTGTGCGTGTGCTTGTGTGTGTTTGTGTGTGGTTGTGTGTTTGTGTTGGTCTGTTTGTGTTTGTGTGTGGTTGTGTAGTTGTGTCTTTGTGTGTTTGTGTGTGTGGTTGTGCGTGTGTGTGTGTGGTTGTGTGTTTGTGTGCTAGTGTGCTAGTGTGTTAGTGTGCGTGCGTGCGTGTGCGTGCGTGCGTGCGCGGGTGGGTGGATGATCGTGTGTGTTTGTGTTTGTGTGTGTGCGTGCGTGGGTGCGTGCGTGTGTGCGTGCGTGCGTGCGTGTGTGTGTGTGGTTGTGTGTGTTGTCTGTGTGGGTTATGTGTGCGTGTTGTGTTGGTTGCGTGTGTGTGTGTTTGTGTGTGTGTGTTGGTGTGTGGTTGTGTGGTTGTGTGTTTGTGTGTGTTTGTGTGTTTGTGTGTTTGTGTGTGGTGTGTATGTGTGTGGTTGTGTGTTTGTGTGTATGCGTGGTTATGTGGCTGTGTGGTTGTGTGGCTGTGTGGCTGTGTGTTTACGTGTTTGAGTGGTTGTGTAGTTGTGTGGTTGTGTGTTTGTGTGTTTGTGTGTTTGTGTGCGTGTGTGCTTGTGTGCTTGTGTGTTTGTGTGGTGCGTGTGTGCTTCTGTGCGTGTGTGGTTGTGTGTTTGTGTGGTTGTGTGTTTGTGTGGTTGTGTATGTGTGTGTTTCTGTGTGTTTGTGTATGTTAATGTGTGCGCGCGTGCGTGCGTGCGTGCGCGTGTGTGCGTGCGTGCGTGGGTGGGTTGGTGGGTGTGCGTGCGTGCGTGCGTGCGTGCGTGTGTGCATGCGCGCGCGTGTGTGTGTATTGTTTGTGTGTGTTGGTTGTGTGTGTTGTGTTGTTTGTGTGTTTGTGTGTGCGCTTGTGTGTCTGTGTGTTTGTGTGGTTGTCTGGTTGCGCGTTTGTGTGTGTGTTGTGTTGTTTGTGTGGTTGTGTGTTTGTGTGTGTTTGTGTGTGGTTGTGCTTTTGTGTGTGTGTGTTTGTGTGTTTGTGTGTGGTTGCGTTTGTGTTTAGGTGGTTGTGTAGTTGTGTGTTTGAGTTTGTGTGTGTGGTTGTGTGATTATGTGGTTGTGTGTTTGTGTGTGCTTGTGTGTGCTTGTGTGTGTTTGTGTCTGTTTGTGTGGTTGTGTGGTTGTGTGGTTGTGTGGCGGTGTGTTTGTGTTTGTGCGTGCGTGCGCGCGTGCGCGTGCGTGCTTGCGTGCGTGGGTGGGTGGGTGAGTGTGTGGGTGCGTGTTTGTGCGTACGTGCGTGCGTGCGTGCGTGCGTGTGTGTTTGTGTGTTTGTGTGTGTTGTTTGCGTGGGTGTTGTTTGTGTGTGTTGTGTTGTTTGCGTGTGCTTGTGTGTGCTCGTGTGTTCGTGTGTTTGTGTGGTTGTGTGTTTGCATGTTTGTATGGGTGTGTGGTTGTGTGTTTGTGTGTTTGTGTGTTTGTGTGTTTGTGTGCTGGTGTGCTGGTGTGTTGGTGTGTTTGTGTGGTTGTGCGGTTGTGTGGTTGTGTGGTTGTGTGTTTGTGTGTTTGAGTGTTTGTGTAGTTGTGTAAGTGTGTAGGTGTGTGGGTTTGTGTGTTTGTGTGCGTATGTGTGCGTGTGAGTGCTTATGTGTGCGTGCGTGCGCGTACGCGTCGTGCGTCGCGCCGTGCGCCGCGTCGTGCGCGTGCGCGTGCTTGTGTGCTTATGTGCGCTTGTGTGGGCTTGCGTGCTTGTGTGCTTGTGTGCTTGTGTGCGTGTGTGCTTATGTGTTTGTGTGCTTGTGTGTTTGTGTGTGTCCCTGGGCCCCTATAGATGCACAACGCGAGGAGGCGTCCCGGGCGGGAGGACAGGAAGCGAGTGCTATGACCACGACTGAACGCGGAAACGTCGGCGTGGAATGCGTTCATCGAACATTTTGGTCATCGTCAATTCGTGGGTCATCCTCGCGAGTCGGCGACGGCCAGCATGGACCATGACCACGATCGGCGTCGACGAGATCCCACGACATGTTTGGTCATTCACCGAGCGCGTTCCACCACTCGCAAAGTACCCACTCGCAAGCGTCCGAGAAAAGAGTGTGCCTCGACGTAGTGGATCGTGAATCCCCCTCGGCGAATCCAGGCCATTTGCGAACAGTTGCTTGTGCGAGCAGTGGAACGCGCTTGTCTGGTCATGGTCATCGTGTTTCTTCTACTGGCTCCCGTCTCTGCGCCCCGCCTGCTGCCCCCCGCCCCGAGGCGACAAGGTCGGCCTCGAGAAGGACAGCGCCGCCAGCGAGCTGCTGGAGTGCGAGAAGCGTTGCGCCCGAAGGCACGTCGTTGTACGTCCGTGGAGGAGGAGGAGGAGCAGCAGCAGCAGGAGCAGCAGGAGCAGCATGAGCAGCAGGAGCAGGAGCAGGAGCAGGAGCAGTTGAGGCAACGGTGCTTAGTTGCTCTTCGGGCGGCCACTTCGTCGCCACAGTTGGACGCAGCTCGGAAAATTGGTGCGTTTGGACCCCAGGAGGTGTCTGGGGGCAGATTTTGAGTTGCCGTTGTCTCAGTTCGCGATGCTCCCAGAGGAGGAGGAGGAGGAGGAGGAGGACGGCGATGATGATGAGGAGGATAACATGCAGGGCAAGGATGCTCGTACCCTTCCCCTTCTCCTTCCCATCCCCCCTTCTCCTTCACCTCGATCTCCTCCTCCTCCTCCTTCTCCTTCCCCTTCCCCTTCTCCTCATCAGCAGCAGCAGCATCATCATCATCATCAGCAGCAGCAGCAGCATCATCCCTCCCCCGCCCGCCTCCCGCCCTCTCCTTCCCTGTATCCTCGTCCTCCTCCTCCCCCTCCTGCCCCGCTTCCTCCCCCCCCTGCCCCTCTCGTTTCTCCTCGTCCCCCGCATCCCCTTCCCACTCCTCTTTGGCCTCCTCCTCTCCATCTCCCCCCCTCTTCCCCCCCTCCCCCCCCTCTTCCTCTAATGATATCCACGGAGGCGTTGTGCCGCGTTTGGAGTCGGCATCGCGCCGTGCGAGGGCTCCTGGGCGAGGGGACCTGCACGCGAGCGCACAGATGCGCGCGCTCGCACAGGATAGCGCAAGCCCTCCCCGCTCTCTGAACCGCTGCTGCGGGGCCCGATGCCGTGGCGGAGGGACCCGGAGCTCCCAGGCCTCACTGAGGAGGAGCAGCAGCGGGTTGCCCAGAGTGGTTCCCGGCGGGCGGGTGAGGCTGTCTCTCTCAGGCACGGGCGCCGCGAAGGAGTGACGACGGGCGGTCTCGCCGGGCTCCGCCTTCTTCTTGGCCCCAGGGCCCTCGAGGATCGATCCGGCACGAGGTGTGGTGCAGGCAGACGACAGGCGGGCTCGACAGCTCCAGCTCCAGTTGTGCCTCGGCGTCTGCGCTTGTGTTGCTGCTCCGACGTCGGATCTTGCGGGTGCGCCGCCCCGGGGCAGACGCTCCAGCGCCCTGCGGAGGCTGCGCCGCTCCAGAGCAAGGCGGCCCCCCGCGGGCCCTCCAGTTCCCACGGCGGGGGGGGGGGGCCTCACGGGGTCGGCACAGCCAAGAGAGGCAAAAAGGGCTGGTTTGGAGAAGAGGCGCAACGCGACCCACTGGGAAGCAGACGATTCCAGAGATGTTCCTGGTTCGACGTCGCCGTCGCCGTCGCCGTCGAGGCCGCCAAGCCGCACCCAGCGACACAGACGCGCGTAGATATGTGCTCGGTCGTGGCTGCACGACCTGTGTTTGATCGTTTGGCCGCGCTGCGCCTGGGTGCGCGTCGTCCGCACGTCCATCGCAAGAAGAGAGAAACGTGGCCCTTCGTCTCCTTCCAGCGCTCGGCCCTCAAAGTTGTCCGCGCGCGAATCCAGCCGCGCGCGGCCTCGCTTTCTGGCACGTCAGGGCGGGCGGGGGCATCTAGTGAGACAAAATGTATGAAGAAATAGGTACATACACAAATGCATGCATACATCTACAAATATTGAATACACGCACACACACACACACATACACACACCTTGCCAGGCCAACTCTGAGCTCAGGATCGTTCAAGCCAGGGAGGCATCTAACCTCGATATTGGGCCCATAATGAGCCTGGCCAGGGGGGCGTTTACGCGTATAGATATCACATCGACCTCGTCGCCCCATCATTCAAACACACACACACACATACACACACACACACATACATACACGCATTCGATGCTCCCTCTCCTATATGCGCCCCTCCTCATCTGGATTCGGCTGCCAGGCACTGGCCATCTGCTGAGACGAAGCCCTGGATAGGAGAGGTTGTGCTGCAGATAGTTAACACCGCGCCCGACATGCACAAGGAGCCGAGTTTCGGTGTCGGGGATGTGAGGAGGAAGAGGAGGAGGAGAAGGAGGAGGAGGAGGAGGAGCAGGGACAGACATTGACGTTGTTCGTCCATACAAGCGTCCGAGAGCGTCCAGAAGTGTGGGCTGTGGGCCCTTAAAGAACGCTTACATAGTTCTACACAAAGAACTCGAAGGGACCAGAGGACACTCCAACTCGTGCCTCAGGGCACGGGGACGGGTTTAGCGTTAGAGGTGCATTCGAGACGGTGAAGTACGGAACTGCTAGGATTCGGAAGGGGCTTGTTGTTCCATGGTTGTTATTGTATCATTCCTCGTGCAACCTGCCGGTTTTGAAGCCAAAACGGGGGATCGCTCCTCATTTAGCGTTCCTTGTGGTAGCAGCTTGGCTGCAGAGCAGGGGGAGGAGAGGGAGGAGGAGGAGGAGGAGGAGGAGGAGGAAGAGGAGGAGGAGAAGGAGGAAGAGGAGGAGGAGGAGGAAGGACAGGGGGGGGGGGCGTAGCAGCTGTGTTGCCCGGTGCCAGCGCTGCCGGTTTGTGTTCGCGATCGCTTGTTTTTGTCGCATTTCTGTTTAGCATGTTTTTCGCGTCGCCCCTCCGCAATTCGGGGGGGGGCTGGGCTCCAGGTGGCTCACGGCCGCGTCGCCGCTCGGAGGGGGAGGGGTGGGAAGGAGAGAGGAGCCAGAGGTCAGAGGCGATCATTCGCCTCCCGATCCATCCCCGACTCACCCCCGAAACAGCAGGCCGGTCATTGCAAGGACGGGAGTTCGGAGATACATGTTGGAGGTGCCACTCGGGCGCACCCCTTATCGAGGATGGAGCCCCCCCCCCCATTCGTGTACATCTCAGGAGAAGAAAAAACACACAGACACAATTCATCGTCGGGTCCCAGGAAAATATGGGAAGACATGGGAAGTGTGTGGGGGGGGGGGGGAAGACGAACACCGAGAAAATATGCGAAAATATGGGAAATCCTTTTATGTGTGTGTAATTTTTGTGGGTCCTGGGGCCCCTTCAAGATCCACGAGCCTCGCTTTTTTGGGTGGCTCCAGTCGCAAAAAACCCATAGCCTGGGGGGGGGGCTGGGGTCGCCATACCCCCCGCGCGGAGAGGCAGGCCAGGGAGGAGAGGAGGAGGAGGAGGAGGAGGAGGAGGAGGAGGAGGAGGAGGAGGAGAGGAAAGCAGGAGAGGAGGAGGAGGAGGAGAGGAGGAGGAGGAGGAGGAGAGAGGAGAGGAGAGGAGGAAGAGGAGGAGAGGAGGAGGAGGAGGGAGGAGGAGGAGGGGAGGAGGAGGAGAGGAGGAGGAGGGGGAGGAGTAGGAGGAGGGGAGGAGGAGGAGGAGGAGGAGGAGGGGAGGAGGAAAAGGAGGGAGGAGGAGGAGAGAGGAGGAGGAGGAGGGAAGTAGGAGGAGGAGGAGGAGGCGGAAGGAGGAGGAGGAGGAGGAGGGGGAGAAAGGGCAAGGCGGAGGAGGAGGAGGAGGAGGAGGAGGAGGAGGAGGAGGAGGAGGAGGAGGAGGAAGGGGAGATGAGGGAGGAGGAGGAGGAGGAGAGGAGGGAAGAGGAGGGAGGAGGGGAGGAAGGGGCAAGGCGGAGAGGGAAGGGGCGGGTTGGAGGTGGTGGGGAGGAGGAGAGGAGGAGGAGGAGGAGGAGGAAGCAGATGGCGGCGCGCACACATGGGTGATCTCAGAAGGAAGGGGGCCCTCTTGGAGGGAAGGGGGCCTTCTCCGAAGGGCTCGAAGCTTTCCAAGGAGGCTTCTCGGAGAAGGCATCCCCCTCGCGCCACCCCCGTGCTGCGCGCGCCGCCAAGCCTGCACGTGCATCGTGGTGGTCGCAGTGTCGAGAAGCTTCACAGTGAGGAGGAGGAGGAGGAGGAGGAGGAGGAGGAGGAGGAGGAGGAGGAGGTTCTGCACCGCTCAAACACGAATCTCAGGAGCAGGGCAAGCTGGGCCGCTTTTTCTGACGTGGTGCCGATCGCCTGCTGGGTGCCAGCGAGATTGCAACAGCCGCTCCGCGGAGTCCGTGGGCTTTGTTGGGGGAGCTGGAGTTGGTGGAGGACCTGAGCGGGTCCCCGGTGCAGGTGGATCTGGAGCTGTTTGTGAGCGTTCTTGTTGTTCATCCCCAGGGTATCGCTCCTCACCCAGGCCACCACCACCACCCTCATCCCTCCCACCCACCCCTTCCTATTGCACTGATCCTTTCTCCATCCGCGAGCGCGTGTCACAGCGGACCTGGAACCCACAAGAAGACCCCGTCGTGCCACGCGCAATCGGAATAGGGGCCCCGCCGCTGATCCTACCCTCCCCGAGGCTTACAGCGCAAGGAAGGGAAGGTGGCATCCCTCCTTCCCCCGCCCTCCCTTTCGGTCCCCCAGAGGCGTCTGGAGGGGACCCCGCGCACGCGCCGGACGGGCGGCCGTCCCCGGCGGGCGCGCGGGCGCGGACTGGGAACCGCAGGAGCGGCTGCGAGAGAGATGAGGAGGAGGAGGAGGAGGAGGAGGAGGTGCGCTCTCTCTCTCTCTCTCTGCCAGCACCTTGCGGCCTCGTCGCACGCGGCGCGCAGGTGGGCGATAGCCCGCCAACACCCAGGCCACGAGCTCTGTCTCCGCGGCTTGCCTAAGAGGAGGTGTTGGACGAGCAGGAGGAGTAGAAGGAGGAGGGGGAGGAGGAGGAGGAGGAGGAGGAGGAAGCACGAGCCAAAATACGGAGGAGGGCCTCCTCCATGCAGGCCCCCTCTCCGCGGAGGAGGAGGCAATCGCAGCCACACCGCCATGCCCTCGGGAGAGGGCCGGCGGAGCCGCACGCTGCCAGCCAAAAAACAGCGGGCCGCACCCTCGCGCAAGAGCCTCGACGGCGGCAGCCGCCACGCCGCCGTCAGCGTCGTCGACGTCGCCGCCGTCGTCGTCGCCACTCGCCGTCTTCCTCTGAGATCTGGGCGCTTGTCGCCGTCGTCGTCGTCGTCGCCGCCGTCGTCGCCGCCGTCGTCGTCGTGGTCGTCGTCGTCCGCCGTCGTCGTCGTCGTCGTCGTCATCGTCGTCGTCGTCGGTCGTCGTCGTCGTCGTCGTCGCCCTTTCGCGACTTGCCTCGCGGCGCGAGGGGCTCTCCGCGGGCGGGGGCGGCCCGCCCCGGCGGCGAGGTGCAGCCGCGCCCTGCCTCGCGCGGTCGAGGTCCGCCGGGCGGAAGCCGGGCAGTCGCTCAACACCAGGCCTCCTCCTCCTCCTCCTCCTCCTCATTTCCCTCCTCTTCCTCCGCCTCCTCCTCACTTTCCTCCTCCTCCTCCTCCTCCTCCTCCTCCTCCTCCTCCTCCTCCTCCTCGTCCTCACTTTCCTCCTCCTCCTCAATTCCCTCCTCCGCCCTCCTACCTCCTCCTCACTTTCCTCCTCGTCCTCCTCCCTCTCCTCCTCCCCTCCTCATCCTCCTTTTCTTCTCCTCCTCCCCCCCTCCTCCTTCCTCCTCCTTTTCCTCCACCTCAATTTTCCTCCTCCTCCTCCTCCACCTTTTCCTCCTCCTCCTCCTCCTCACTTTCCTCCTCATCCTGCTCCTCCTCACCGCTATTCCTTGCATAGCAGCTTCGGCTCAAGCTAGTCTCCAGCCCCCTGGTCGCCATTTGCCACCGCTCATGGCCGGTCCGGGTGCTGCTGCTTGAAAAACAACGGAGCGGGAGGACGGGGGCGTTGCCCGTCCGAGGCGCTCGCCAAGAGAGCGCAAGGCTGCCCGCGATTGGGCCCGTCGCTCCGCCGACAGGGCCGTGGTCAGGCTGTAGAGCTCGCCCGTGCCAAGTGAGAGCTGGACGACGTCGTGGAGGCACTGGACGGGATTCTGGGCGGCGCGGAGGTGGCGGGGCGCATGCGCGCCATCCTCCCAGCGCTGATGGCATTGCTCGAGGGGCGCTTTCCTGAGTGGCTGGCGAGGCTGCGCAGGAACGTGGCGTTTCATTCTGCTGCGCCAGGCGTCGCCATCGACACGGCGGACGCGTCTGCTTTCAGGAAGGCTTTGCACGGGCTCCGTCTCGAGTCGAGATTCGGCGTCCTCTCGAAGCATGCCGCGCCCTTCGTGCCCGGCGGCGGGTACTGGTGCGGGCTGGCCGACGTGGGCCCGTCGATTCATCATTTGGCGGAGGCGCCCAACGTTGTCGCGGAGCGGTTTCAGGAGCAGGAGTTCGTCCTTCACTTCATCGACGCAGCGGTGGACGACTCCCGCTGGCCTGCAGGCTTGGTTCCGTCGACCCATTGGCAAGGCTTTTGGGGGCCACTCTACGATTCCTACGTTCCTGGCCTTTCCCATCTCACGGTCGAGGAGCAGGAGGCAGACAGCCTGTCTACGGAAGTCGCGCTCCCGCCGCGTCGCGGGGCGACTGCGTGTTCCGACGGGCCCTGTTTGGGGGGGCGTTGCCATGGAGCCACATGTAGGGTTATTTGTGCGCGCCGACGTGGACGCCTTTACGTCCAGCTGTGGTGGCACCGTCGTGGACGCTGATGGCGAGATTGCCTCCCATGGTGGCGAGGGATTGAACAACAACGTGTTCTTCACGGTGGTGGCGTCCAGCTTCCATGCTGCGAGGGGGAGCCGTCTGGAGACGCGCGCCGCCGTCCACGTGTTCCAGTACATCGACGCCTTCCTCATCCCGTCCTTCGCGGAGCGCACGTGTGACTGTTGCTTTGTCGCCATCGCTGAGGCCGACGGGTTGGACTCCGAAGCGCTCTGGTGCAAGGATTACGACGTGCCTCTCTGCCCTTGGCG